AGCCCAAGCAATTATTTCTAAACTGATAATAAAAGCTCCAACAGATAAAAATCAATGTTTTCAAAAGCGAGCGATTAATAAATCAAACTCCACCTCTTATAAGGATCCCTCTTGCAAAGCTTATTCAACAAGCTTGGCTAGAGGGAAATCCCTCCATACACGTGTATGGAGGGGAAAGGAGTTGGTGCCAGCTATCACAGCTGGCACAAAATATCTCCATAAAGTGGAGGAACAGTGGTCGGATGCCCAAAAAAGCTATTTTGGCAAAAAAAGGTGCCGACTGGCAATAAAGTGTGCCGACCGGCAAACAAAATTGCCGATGGAAGAAAAAGACCAGCCGGTGGCCTCCAGCCACTGCCGGTGGTGTATGGGGATGTCTCACAAGGCATTCCCTGCCCCTCTAAGGCAAAACAAAAGTGTTTGGTGCAAAACCAGACACTAAACAGTCGAGTTCGGGGATCCTGAGGCAAGGCGCGCGAGCCGAGACCTCCGGGAACTCCAAACGAACACAATCATGGATGATCACCGAGTGTTCAAACGGTGACGTCCAAGTCTTGAGGACGGTCAAAAATGGGGTGTCTACACATATGTAGCAGAGGGTCAAAGACACTGAAAGACATCATCGGGTCACAACAGATGGGTTATGACAAAAGTGGGATAGGCTATGGTGATCCAACACTGCAGAAGAAGAAGGCCTCTACATCTTATGACATCAAGACTCAAGCAAAGGGAAAGCTAAAGATTCAACAGGATGATAAATCTCTCCATCAACCTAATGGGGATATGATCAACAAAAGGGAGGTAAAACCTATTTTTATTTGTCATCATTGTGGTAGGTATGGTCACATTTGCCCTTATTGTTATGAGTTGTTTGGTAAGGTGTCTCAAAAATTTAGAAATTCTAATACTTCATGGGGTAGGAGACAACCTTACCTGTCTAGGCAACATACCAAGATACATAATGGTATTCACAACGCTAAGACTTTTACTAAGACTGCCAACGTTGCTTCTATGAAGACCAAAAAGATATCGGTGAGAAAGAGTGACCTAATTTGTTTTGTTGTTCACACTACACTGAAAGCACGTAACTCACACGTGGTATCTTGATAGTGGGTGCTTTCGTCACATGTCAGGTGACAAATCCTACTTCACATCTCTTGAGAAATATGAAGGAGGAATTGTTACCTTTGGAGAAGGTGGCATTTCTAGAGTCATTGGCAAGTGCTCTATAAGTGTGGTCGGTCAACCTGAGCTTGAAAATGTTTTGCTTGTTGATGGCCTTAAAGCTAATCTTTTGAGCATCTGTCAAATGTGTGATTCTCATCATGAAGTATTATTTTCAAAACATAAATGTGAAATTTTGGATGAAAAGAGAAATACTATCATGCATGGGGTTCGCACATCCAATAACTACTATGGGATTTTTACCACTAATGATCTCACTTGTTAGTCGGCCATCATAAGTAATCTTGAATTGTGGCATCAATGATTAGGTCACATGAACTTTAAAGACCTAACTAAGATAGCCAACAAAGAGATTGTGAGAGGAGTACCCAAAATGGGTAAGAATGTGAACCATATGTGCGGGATATGCCAATTAGGGAAGCAAGCTCGTGCCCCTCATAAAAAGGTGAACAACTTAACAAGCAAGCGTTCTCTTGACATTGTTTATATGGATCGTATGGGACCCACTCGTATTGAAAGCATTAGAGGTAAAAGATATATTTTTTTAACTGTTGATGATTACACTCGCTTTTCTTGGGTTAATTTTTTAGGAGAAAAATCTGATACGTTTGATACTTTCAAGTCATTAGTCCTTAAAATTCAAAATGAACAGGGTGTCTTTATTAGGTGTATCATAAGAATCCAAACTGATTATGGTCATGAATTTGAAAATAGTTCGTTCTCGAATTTTTGTGATATGCATGGAATTAAACATGAATTTTCTGCACCCATTACTCCACAGCAAAATGGAGTTGTTGAGAGGAAAAATATGGTAGTTGAAGAGATGGCTAGGGTCATGCTCTTTAGTGAGAAAGTTCCTCCCAAGTTTTGGGCTGAATCCTTAAATACCACTATTTATGTGGTGAATCCTATGTATCTAAGTCTTGGCACATTACAAACTCCATATGAATTGTGGAAAGGGTTGAAACTTAATGTAAAATACTTTAAAACTTTTGGGAGTAAATGTTGCATTTTCAAAGAAAGAGAGCCTTCGGGCAAATTTGACTTCTGAAGTGATGAAGGCATTTTTCTAAGGTATTCAACTTGTAGAGCTTTTCTTGTCTATAATCTTCGTACTTTATCTATAATGGAATCTATCAATGGGATTGTAGATGGCACAGGTTCTCCTATTACATCTCTACATGAGGAAGAAGATGGTGATCCTAAATTCTAGATACTGAACCACAAAGTCAAGGAGAAACACAAGGCCAAGCTTAAGAAAGCGAACCAGCACCAATACCTATGGATAGCCCTGGTCCAAAGAGTGCCCACAGAGACACCAGCACTGATGCTAGAGTCACTACCAGTCCTGTTTTGAAGCCATCAGGAAGGGTGAAGCTAAATCATCCGATGCAACAGGTGATTGGAAGTGTCTTAGACCAAATGAAAACCCGAAAACAAATTCGAGAGGAGGTATCTCATATGTGCTATGTTTCGTTAATTGAATCAAAGAATGAAAAAGAGGCCTTACTAGATGATAATTGGGTCAATGCAATGCGTAAAGAATTAGGTCAATTTGAATGTAACAAAGTTTGGACTGTTGTTCCCAAATCTAGAGATATGAATGTGATAGGTACCAAGTGGATATTTAGAAATAAATCTGATGATAATGGTACAGTGGTTAGAAACAAAGCTAGGTTGGTTGCTCAAGGCTATACACAAGTAGAGGGTGTTGACTATGATAAGATGTTTTCCCCTGTTGCACGTTTTGAATCTATTCGTATCTTATTTGGTGTTGCATGCTTTCTAGGATTCAAATTGTTTCAAATGGATGTGAAAAATGCCTTTCTGAATGGGATTTTGAAAGAAGAGGCATATGTTGAGCAACCAAACGGGTTTGAGGACCCAAAATTTCCAAACCATGTCTACAAGTTAGACAAGGCTTTATATGGGTTGAAACAAGCTCCTCGGGCTTAGTATGATAGACTTGCTATATTCCTTCTTGACAATGATTTTCAAAGGGGTAGTGTGGACAAGACTTTATTTGTGAAACATAGTAAGTCTCAAATACTTGTTGCTCAAATTTATGGTGATGATATTGTGTTTGGATCCACATGTGAATCTCTTGTGAAATATTTCTTGGATTGCATGACACATGAGTTTGAAATGAGTATGATCGGGGAATTCTCTTTCTTTTTGGGGCTTCAAATTAAACAATTACCATCGAGTATGTTTGTTTCTTAGATTAAATATACCAAAAACCTTGTGTCCAAGTTTGGTCTCGAGTCGACTAAACATGCACAAACCCCCATGACCTTACCCTTTATAGGTATATGATAAGGAGTTTTTTGTACATCACAGCCAGTCGACCTGACATTGCATTAAGTGTAGATGTTTGTGCCCGTTATCAAGCCTGTCCTAAGGAGTATCATCTTCTTGTTGTCAAACACATCATTAAGTATGCTAGTGGGACATTGGGATATGAGATTTGGTTCTTGACCGACACTCATGCCGATATCACTGGTTTTTCTGATGCCGACTGGGCAGGGTGTGTTGATGATCGAAAAAGCACATCTGGTTTCCTGGCATAGCAAAAAGCATAATGCCATCTCTCTTTCAACCGCTGAGGTTGAGTACATCGCCACAGGAAGTTGTTGTACACAAATGATACGGATGAAGCAAAAGCTTCATGATTAGGGTATAGACCAGGATAGTCTTACACTTTTCTATGATAACATAAGTACCATCAATATCTCTAAAAATCCTGTCCAACATTATCGCACTAAACATATTGACATTCGTCACCATTTCATTCGAGAGTTAGTTTAAGAGGGCCTTGTAGTTCTTGAACATAGACCCACTGAGCATCAAAAAGCAGATATTTTTACAAAACCCCTTGATCTTCATAGGTTTGAGTTCCTTAGAATGACCTTGGGTGTAGTGCTCAGAAACTAGAGTGTGACTTGTTGCATGAGTGGGTGAGTATGATTGGCTTTCTGTGTACTTGGATGTTATAATCTCATTGTCATTGATACTCATCATCTTTGCACATAGATATATTTGAACATCTCTCATTTTGCTTGCACGATTTCATGTCTTTATCCATGGCTCATTTTGAATGTACATGCTCATTGAATTCATGATTTCATTATGTACACATCCTTGAGTTAAACTCTTGCAGGGGTTTCCGCAAAAGTGATCAAATTTCTCTATAGACTTCTAACATTGTATCTTAAGCATTTCTAGAGGAATCGACCTATACTAGCATATCATGGGTGATGTTGAGTCTCTTAACCATCCAGTATCTGTTTGCACCTCTACGATTTCTCTCTCACTTCTTTGAATTTTGGGCATTAGGAAAAAGCTACCTCAATGGCACCGACTAGGCCATCCTAATTGTTTCCATGCTTCTCTAGTTTGGTCTTTGTACGCTTGAGCGTAAAAGCCGCTAGTGAGTGCCCAAAAGAAAGAAAATTTAAATAAAAAAACATGGACTCATTGATTGAGGTGGAGCCTCCATTTTTATTCAACAAATACCCCCTGATTCTGGGGGGTTTGCCTTTCCTCAGTGATGCTTAGATTCTCTTACCGGAGGTTCAGCCATCCGATCACTACCAGGATTAACTCTAGCGATTGTGGCCTCTCAAGGATTGCACCCATACACTCACTATGTGAGCTTTCGTGTTTTCCTTTGAGTTTTGCATTCACATGTTGCCTATGCTCAATGATCCATGTTTACGTGTCTTGCTCATGATATTGTGCTTCATATTGCTTAAATTGCAAGATTGCAAGCCTTATGGTATGTGGATTATCTTATCTTAGTATCACGTTATTTCCATCGTACAAATCCATTCTCGTTTTAGGTGATATTTGAGTGTATGATTCATTTTGGATACTCAGGGGTGTGTGTTTCAAGTTAATTGGAGAGGTGCTTTACTTTGGCCACCACTCAAGGGGTCATTTTTGTGCTCGAGTGGTCTTGGCACACATCCAGTAGTTTTGCAGAGGGGCGAAATTCTAAGAGTTTGAAATCTGTGCTCGAGAGCACAAGTTTTGGCTCAAGCGAAGGGGCGCGTATAAGTGAGTTCGCTCGAGCGGTAAAAGACTCGCTCTAGCGATCTACCCAGGTATAAATGCCCTAGTCCATTTTTCCCAATCCATTCTTTCCCCGAATTTCTTCGATTTCTCTCTCTTAGGGAAAAATTTGTCATCCCCTTGGACAATTAGGACTTCTTGCTGGTTTTTGGAGATTTTCTTTTGAAATCCCAAAATCTTCATTTTCATTTGGTAAGTTCCTCACTCTATGTTTTTTTATTATTTTATTTTATTTTATTTTTGGTTTTTCAGTTGCTTCTATTTTTTTTCGCTTTCATCTCTATCCATCCTCTAGGGCTTCACTTTGTCATTCGATTACACAGTGGGTTTTGGCTTTTGTTTATCTTGCTGCATTCATGTTGCTATCTATCTGTGCGAAATTGTTATCACTTGCCTACACTCTGTGCTTGAATTTGTTTTTGGTTATTGAATTCGCTTCTTTATCTAATGCTTGGCTTAGTTGCATGGCTTATTTCTCCTAATTTTGTTCTCTTATGTTGAGTTTAACCATGCTTATGTTCTAAATGTTTTATTTTGGGGGTTGACTTATTTTGTTTTGATTGGGGTTTTTGGCTATGTAGGTTGTTTTCTTGGATATGAGATTTGGTTCTTGACCGACACTCATGCCGATATCACTGGTTTGGCCTTTTTTTGTATGTCAAACTCTTAGTCATGGCCACATCCTTGTCAAAAGAGCCCAAGTCCACTAGTACCCATCCCATCTATAATACTGACCTCTTTCCATCTTGAGAAAAGGCCATCATGTACCGTGATTTCTATGCGTCGTAAACTGTTCATCTCAAACAAAACGTCCAACATTCCACCTTTGAATCCATTCCTATTTGGCATGTGTTTTATCCGTTAGGTAATGAAATTGTTCTCTCATTGTCTAGCCAGCAGAATCTTAGTTGGATTAGAGAATTCTACTATAACATCACCTCTATTGATACCATAGCCCCTTCCTTTAAAACCTGGGTTCGGTCTAAAGAAATTTTCATTAATGATGAGGTCATCCTGTCCCTTCTTGCAATTCCTGAAGTTCGCACTTGGCACTTTCCTTTTCTTGGCTCTCGCAATGTAAATTTTGACATGGTTGCCGCTGAATTGTGTGGCACCTCCCCACGACATGGGTTGTCCATGGGTTGTCGGGGCCCTTATTAGGCAAAATGAGCTTCTTCATCGGTTCCACCTTCTAAATATCATTGTTTGTGCCAACATCTATGTCACCACACATAGTTCTAACATTTTCCAAGGTAAGGGATATGTCCTTTACTGCATTGACCGTCATCTTACCATAAATCTTCTTGAAATGATTGTGACAAAAATTATAGCTATTTTTTAGGGCAAGAAATCTTTAGGTCTTCCTTACGGTTGTATGATAAACCGTTTCCTTACCCCTCTTGGTGTTCTATCCTCCTCAAATGATAAGTTTGCCTATCTTATCAAACCCATCACTAAAAATACCATATCCCAAGGTCAAGTGCATGTTAAGTGGGGTCCATTAGGGGTGGGTGGTTCTGGTACAGGTGAAGACCTTATGGAAGAGGTGCTGAGCTTGATGCCGGCACTGCTGGTGAGAGGGAGCAGCCTCCTCCAGCTTGATCTATTCGGGGACAGTTCCGCCAGATTAAGCATGACATCTTTATCCGCTTTGATCGTTTGGAGGCATAGATGGACATATATGATGGTCGTATCACAAACTTGGAGACATACACAAATACGCGGCTTACTACATTAGAGGCATCTTCTAACTATATTGAGCATTCCGTTGACCAGTCCTCATTGCAACTTGCTCAAATTTTATCTCATCTTTAGATGCAGCAGCCTCCTTCACCATCACCGGATCAATGATGTTTGTTTTTTTTTTGGGCAGCTTTCTTTTTGCTTATTTTTTTCCTATTTATTGCTGTATTTTTTTATCCTTCTTGGCCGGTGTAGACACTCCATTTTTGACCAACCTTAAGACTTGCGTGCTACTGATGGCTTCCTTGGTGATGAAAGTTATGCAGGTTATGCTATGCAAAGGGTCGGTTTCTTTGGCAAGGAGAGCATCAAATCCAAACCTCACACCCCATTTTGTTCCAAAGCTATTTTGAATGGTTTTTAGACCTTAAAACCCTCTCTTTCAAAACATTTTTGAAATAAAGTTTCTACGATGTTCCGAGGCTCGCATTTTGTCAAATGTTGCGCTTTTCGATAAACTAAGCCAGGACAAAGGGGAAATGAATGAAAGAGAGATGAAATCTTGGAAAAATCTTTCAAAACACCTTGCTTCGAGGGTTTGGAGTTGAAGAAAAGAAGAGAAGAGGGAAGAAACCAAGTTGAAGAAAAAGGTGGGTATAAATCGTTAAGAGAAAATCGAGCGGTCCTCGCTAAATCAGGCTTATCTGTCTATGCACTTGGGTTTAAGCTATGAGGTCACCACCGTTGGAAAGAAGACTTCTGGGGCTTCAATTTACACTCAAGAATCTCCTAAAGCCAAGTTCGGATGGAGGAGATATGATTGGTTGAAGTAGGGCATCAATCCGGTCGGATCGAAACAGCGCGGCTTCACCAAAATAGGTATAACTTTTTGCACAAATGGAATTTTAATGCAAGGTTGGCGCCATTGGAAAGCTAACTTCCGGGGCTTCATTTTAGACACCCACCGACCAATTTTTGGCCTTGGAAGCCACCTACCGGCCACCAAAGTAGCCGGCCAACCAGAAAAAGTAGCCGGTCGACCAGTTTTCTAGCCGGCAGCTTTTCACCCGCTCCCTCACAGCTGTATCTTCCAGTTGGCACAGTTGGCAAGCATTTTGGCTGTCCTCCATACATGTATGGAGGGATTTCCTTGGCCCTTAGCTTCTTGGAGAAGCTTATGCTTTTAATCTCTATAAGAGGGAGGCTCCTCTTCCCTCATCTAGTTCAGAAAAAATTGTTGAGGCTCATACATACACTCCCCTTTGTATCTCTATATTTGGCCTTTAAAACTCCATTGTTCTTGCACCATTGCACTACACCTCTTAGCCTAACCTCTCCATCATCCATCTAAGCACCTTGGAGCTCATTTTCAGATGTTGAAGGTTTGCTACTTTGGTCCAGAAGCTGCTGGAGGCCTTCTCTACAAGGGTAACACTCATTTTCCCTCTTTTGAGCATTGTTTTGCTTCATATCTTAGCTCTATTTTAAAGCATTTTTGGGCTTTGTCATAAACTACAAAAAGTCTTATTTTGAGCTCCTCTTGAAGTTTGTTTAAGGTCATTTTTCTGTTGTTGGTCATCTACCCCCTTGGATGCTTGTTTTCACGTTGTTTTGAGCCATGCATCTAGGCCTTTGAAGTGAGCTTTGTGAGCCATGCATCAGTGGCTAGCATACTGTTTTGAGCCCCAAAATCAGAGAGGGGTGACCCTCTCACCCCTTGTCTTGTTTACTAGCTTTCTTGGCCTTATAAAGGAACCCCTATTTGCATGTTTTCAAGCCATGTTTCAGGCTATTATTTGTGAGTTTTATGACC